TATGTGATTGAGTTTTGTTCCATTGGTGTCAAGGAAGAGGAAACAGAGGAACACATGGATCCGGTAGTAGCAACAGTTGTAAATAAATTTAGTCATCTGTTTGAACAGCCTACTTAGCTCCCACCAAACAGACCCACTGACCACGTCATAATCTTAGAAGCTAATGCCAAAACTCTTAACGTTTGCCCATACAAATACTCCTATTCCCAGAAAAATGAAATCGAAAAGTTGGTGGGTGAGATGCTGGTGGCATGGATTATACTACCCAATACCAGTCCTTTTGCTAGTCCTGTGTTATTGGTTAAAAAGAAAGATGGTAGTTGGCGTTTTTGTGTGGACTACAGGGCACTAAATAACATCACTATACCCGACAAGTTCCCGATCCCCCTCCTTTAGCCCATTTGTAAACACCCCTATCAATATATCCTCTCCTACCTCATGCAAGGAAACTGTGTGAGCTTCAAAATTTTCCTTGTACTCTGTCACTGTACCAGTCTACTTCAAAGCGACCAGAGCTTCATAAGCTGAACCTTTAAATGATGGTCCGAATCTCTCCACCACTGTAGTCTTAAATTCTGTCCAAGAACCAATGGGTGCTCTAGACTCCACCCACTGATACTAGTTCAGGGCACGACCTTCCATACACACGGCAGCTACTACCACCTTTTCTCCCTCCTCATATTGATTTATCGAAAAATATCAGTCAGCTTTGAATGTCCATCCATAAGGATCTTCCCCATTGAATATGAGTAGTTTTAACTTTTTTACCTTCGAGTTCTCTAGCTCTTTGTTCTTATCAACTCCCCTACTGTCACTACTGTTGGAAGGATCAGAGTTAGATGCCTTCCCTTTATCGTGGCTCAGATTTAAATCCCTTTCTTCCTTCAGCCTCATTCACTCGCGCAACTCTAGTAAGTAACCCTTAATGCTCCCGAGCTCTTCTCTTACAATCCCCATTTCTTTCTCTACGTTCCCTATTTCCTTTTCCAATCCTTCAACTCTGTTCTCCATCTTCGATTTAACCATTACTCGAACGAAGCTTTGATACCACTTGTTAAGACTCCCTGCAATAATAACAAGCAACATCACAAACAGTCCAAGATAACAGAAAATATGCACTCAATCGAGTCTTAGCCAGATTATATTTCTAGAGAATGGAAAGGAAACAACCAAACAGATAGATCCCAGCAATTTGAGGAGTTGGGGACCTCCCACAATGACACTATATTGATCTGTATCCCTTCACCAAACTGACCCTTTATTTATACTACCATCATGACTACCTATTTTCTATACTAACAACATTGATTCCCCACTCACATGTGACTGTAACCAATTTCCCTAACAACCAATAGCAAGGCACCTCACACTCTTTACACTTTCTGACCTGATTGTCCCTTATGCCCTTTGTACTAATAAACATTTTTAATGGGAGGTCTATCATATAGAAAGAGCCAATATAGTCTTATTACAGAGGTTTCCCTGTACAAAGGTGGACTATCATCTGACAACAACTCTTTTATAGGTCCAAAAAGTTTGTTAGATGGCTCAAAATGTGTTGTGAAGAAGCATGCCATTGATATTCTTCGACTGGTGACATAATTGGCTAGCACTCTATGCTCTACAGCCTTGAATTTGTCATTACTAATGAGCTGCAAAACAACACAATAATCAAAACTATATATACTTGGCTTGGTTGAGGCCACCCTTTTTTAACCAATTTCTAAGACAAAATACTGTAATCTTTAATGCCAAATAAGTGTAACATAATCAATACTTTATGTATACTTATACAAACTTGTAAGAGTTCGCCAATATTGACCACTAGAGCTCTTTCCACTAGAGGGATATCAACCCACTAAGTGTCATCATGAAGAACTTGTAGACCACCACTTTGATCTTGAAGTAGGATAGTGAGAAAATCAGGATCACAATGTTTGGTATGTCCAAGAGTCTAGTCAAGCTCCGAACAACCTGGATAGTAGTGACAGGAGAACACATGTCCATCGGCACACCCCATTTCTGTTGGGCGATTAGAGTTGAGGCCAAGTGCCTAAGATAATAACTCAAACAATTTTTCTCCTAGTTTCCTGACATACTCCGAGAACTTCATTAACAGTAGCGGATCCAAAAATTTCTGTTGGGGTAGGCTAAAATAAAAACTAATTGCACATTAATATTTTTGTTAGAATGGGCCAAAATCTAGAAATTGTACATATTAGTATTTTTTTTTTAAAAAAAAAAAAATTGAGGGTCAGCCCTAAACAAGTGTTGGATCTGTTAATGAATCATTAACATCTCCTTGGGAAAAAAAAAATGAACATAGATTAAACTTTGAACATTTTGTTAGTATCCATTACAAGTTTCATATAGGAAATGTTTACCTGTAGGCTCTGGATACTGTTCAGGAGGTGAAGGATTCGGAACCATGTGACAAAACAAGGTGTCCCTCCAGTTAGCAAAGCTGGCCTTGTATAGATCAAAGTTACTATTGAATCTGACCTTCTTCCTCTTTTTGCGGTACAAATTTTCTTTTACATGGTTTGGTTGCTCATTAAATCTCTGTATGCTTTGAATTCGGAAGTATGCTTTAGCCTTTTTGCTTAAGTCTTCATATATGCGGGTAACGGACGTTTGATTTGGTCATTCCATTTGGAATGGCTTGATCACTTTTAGTGAACACTTGGTAGAACTGTAAACGGGCAAGAGAAACGATGTCAGTTTATGTTGAACGACTTTCTGGGAAATTAAACAAGGGAGGAACTAGGAGCAGGAGTTCGACTAGACTAAATAGGCGTTCCATTCCGAAGAAATGTACATTTTTATTTGGTTATGACTTAAGTCATACCTCTGGATTTTTGTTAGATTTCAATCAATCTTTTAATTAGTTTTGACATATCAAAACACATGAGGGCTCAACAAATTATACTACCGTTTGGGATGAGTGTTTTGTGGTAATTGTGTGAAAAATTCCATCTTTTTGTTGTAATGAACATGATTTTATCTGGTTAAGATTAATTTTGGTTTTTGTTTTCTTGTTTTCGTTTTCTGCTTTTTGGTTGATTGTTGACCTTCCTTTTATGTGAAAAAAAAAAAAGAATCTTTAATCTTTATGTGGGTTATGGTTATTGGAGAGAAAAACTTTCTATCTTAGCTCGAGCTCGACCGAAGCTCAACTGTTCGAGCTCAAGCTTGAAACTGTAGCAACCGAGCCGAGCTCGGACAACCCAATACTCGACTCGACTCGGCTCATTTACACCCCTCGAGTAAGTGGTCTCAAGTGTTAGTTTTTTCTAATTTATATGTTTTTTTCTGATATTAATTTGGGTAATGGGTTGGGTAAGCGTACCCCATACCACCTCAATTAGAATGGGTTAAGATCGGGGCAACCCAATCTCACCCCATTTTTAATTGGGTTTAGTACAGAGCACCCCAAGTAGGTTGACACCTGCGTGCCAGGCAGGGGTGGTGGTGTCGCAAACTCATTTATCCACATTGTCATCTCATTTTAACCCTTGAGGTTTAGACAGTTTGGTCCAGAGTTTTTGGATCCGTTTGATTCATTATTCTGATACTTTTTAGAATATTATTTTGAAAAAAAATTAAATTGGATAGGTATTACAATGTAGAATTTAAAAATTAGCAAAAATACCTCATATATTTGTTTATTTACTAAACACCCCTATAATAAAATATTAAAAGTTAACAAAAATACCCCCAACACACCCATTAAATACGGACAGCCAACCACCACCGTCGGAAGATTGCTAGGGCATTTTTGCAATTTTAAAAAAAAAATATATATTTAAAAATATTTAATTAAATTAACAAATTTAGAGAAGTTTAAAAGAAATTAAATAATATAGAATAATATTTTAAGAATAAGTTAATTTGGCTGTTTACCTTTATTGAGAATACTAATGGTATTTCCAAGAGTGTAACAAACGGAGCCGAAACATATTACACAATCCATGTATGCACATGCAAGATCAATTTCCTCCGGTAACTGAATACCATCTTTATGAGTTTCTCTCGGGTCTCAGAAACACTCAGACTGGATGTGAACAAAATCTGACTTCCCATTGCAAGTATCTTCAGATGGTTTGTATGCCAGTATGAACATGACAATTAACATAAAGCTCTTTTATCATCAACAGCCTTCAAATCATCAAAGCTGAATCTTGTTTCAAATAGGATGTGGTTCCTTTTTCTGTGTTTCCTTCAAGCATACTAGACAAATTGTCCAAAGATAAGGAGAAAGGGCACTTCAACATTGAAGATAAAATTGGAAAACGCCATTGACATACAAAACACCTAATAGACCCATACGAAAGCACTCAGTCAATTGCTATAAGATCTTGTCCTCCAGTCTATATAATGATATTTCTACAATCAGTAGCAAAGAACCGTAAGGCTTTAATTAGAAATGGCAGCACATTCTCCAGATAAAAAAACTCTTTTAACAGACTATTTAGTCAAATTTAATAACCCAGAACTCCTATAAACCCACTCAGTGAAGTGCTTTCAAAACTGGAGGCCCGCTGAAACCTACAATCTTCAGATGCAAGAAACTCGTACCTCTTACGGGGGTATATAGCTCTTAGCAAACTCGTGTAATGCTCAATTAACCCCTGCGGATTGAATATTTAGCCAATTAAAGCACTTCTCCTGGGTTTCTCTTCCATTCTGCTGACATGATGGGGCATCTTCCAGAAAGTAGGCAACAACGAAAACAAAGGAATTCTAAGGACTTTCATAGATAACTGAAGTCTGCAGGTAATATGTAACTCATTGAACGAGGCAAGGACAAAAATAATTTACACGAACACAGTATTAAAAGATCTCCAAAAGATAGTGAATGAGAAGAACAATATCTTACCTCTTCCCCTTGCATCTCCTCGGAAGAAATCATGAAAGCAGGAATTAAATATGCACATCACATGCTGTACATACAATGTGCAGTATGTAGCAATTGTGAAGGAAAATAGAGAGACTAGGTATACAAATACAACATGCACATCATATAATGCAATTCAGCAAAATTTCTGTGGTAATTTTAAGTTTTTTGATATACTACAAGCAGCATACGCAACCAAAAAATAAGTAGCCTCTTAGTAAACAAATTGAGTAGAGCATTACAAACAACAGGATTAATTGCTAACAAGAGCTATCCTTCAGCATCAAAACAAGTTGCAAAACTCCTGCCACAGGGCATTGAAATGAAGCCTGTATGATTGAAATCTTCAAGTTTCACCATTATTAAAACCCTAAATGACCGCAATTTTAAACAAAATTAATATTCATTTCACTCCCAATCGTCATCACTCAATTGATCATCAATCTCTTCTTTCGGTGGCCTAACCACTAGCACCACTGTCCCTAAACTCTCTTCTACCCCTCTTTCCTTCAAAGCCAACCCTCTTTCCACCTTCAACTCACCATCTTCAAGCTGCACCAAGTAAAACCCTTCATCCACCTCAACCGCCTTCCTGCTCCTATCCGCCACCACCAAAATAGCCTCCTCCTTATACCACCTGTTCACCCTCCATGGCAATACCCTGGCATCACTAAATGACACAACCACTCCCCCATTCCCCAACCCCACAACAGGCACCCACCCCGGCAACACCACCCACCTGTTCCACCCCTTTTCCGCCGCCACCACGCCAAATTCCCCCTCACTCCTACACTCGAAGGGTGCTTCAGAAATCCCTTTTTCCTTCTCCTCCCCTCTACAAACAGGCAAAACAACCACACTAGTCGCTTCACTAACCTCACCAATTTTTAATCTCACAACCGGAACATGAACCCTGTCCTCAATTTTTACTTCTTTTTCATCCTTCTCCTCGATCTCTCCCTGTAACTCTCTTTCTATCAACTTTTTAGCCTCATCAGACTCAGCAACTTGTAATGCAAGTTCTAAAGCACTTGTTCTCTCTTCTGATGGATGTTTATGCTCTTTACTTTGCCTATAATACATAAAAGACAAACAATCACCTGGAAGAACATAATTAAACTTCTCCCGCGCTATCTCCCCACGCCTCCGTGGAAAATCCTTCATTGCACGCGCCAAATCTTGTGCTCCTTTAGCATCACAATTATTCTCAACAAGAAAGCGTGCCGCCGCGGCCCGTTGTGAGGCGCTTAACAGTCTTATCTCATACAAAAGCTCCGCACCACCGGTGTCAAAAAAGGCGAGAACTTCGGGATCAGTGTTGGATTCCACGAGGGAATCCCGGACTTGGGCGGCAACGACAAGTCGGTTTTGTTCAACCCCAGAAATGCCAGTTGATTCTTCAACAGAAGGAGGGGGGAAACCCTCCTGATACAGGGTGGGAATCAAGGGGGCATACTCGAACCAGAGGCCGAGGCGATTGGCGAGGACTTCGAGACGAGAGGCGGTGTCTAGATTGCGGAACTGCGGTGGGAGAGGAGAGGGTGGCGGTCTGAAAGGTTGGTAAACCTGTTGCTGGCGTCGTTGTTGAGAGTTTGGGGGTGGGATGAGAGAGGCAGAAATGGGTTTAAGAAGGGGTTTAGAAGAGAAGAATCGTAAAGGTAGAGGATTTAGACGGAAGAGGTTGTTGTCAGTGAAGGGAGAGGTGAAGGCTTTAAGGGTAAGGGTGTTTGTAGTTACAGAGAGCATGGTGTTCTGCCGGGAAATTTGGAAATGAGGAGAGGAGGATGATGAGAGAGGCGTTTGTTTTTGCCTTATCTTTTTATTTTTTATATTTTTTCAGAGATGGAGAGAGAGGGTTGTTGTTCTTGGGCTTTTGAAATTTAAATGGGCTATAAAAAATCAGAGCCTGAAGTAAGCCTGGGCCATTTATGGACTCTGTACGTTAGTAGGCCCAGTAAGCCCAGCTAGAGTTGGGTTTGCTGAGCCAAGCCCATGGACCAATGGAATCATTGGGTCTTAACTTCTGCCTGAGCCCATATGGACATTAGACTGGGCCAACGCTAGACTGGTAAGGTTTGAGGTATCCCATCAGTCGACATTTACCCACGAGACTGACTCATGCAACCCGGTGTCCATATGTTTTCTAAGTACACTTGAATTTAAAATTTGTTTGAACTACATTCAGAATTAGGTAAATGAGGATTGCCGAGCCCATTCATTTTCTAACTAAACAACTATCAAAATATTTACAAAAGCTCTACTCATATAAACTCTGCTATAATAAATTCTTCTTCTATAAACTTTACTCGAAAAACTCATACAAAACATATCCTAAATGAGTCTTAGCCATATTTTTATTTACCCGTTTAATATTTTCAATGTTGTTTTCTATTATTAAATTTCAAATTTAATAAGAAATCGGATTGAATGTGTGCGTGATTAATAAAAATCAGCAAAGAAGAATAGAAACAAGACACAAAACAATTTTTAAAGTGGTTCGGTGAGTTAATTCTTAGGTTTACATCCACTAATATCTTATCATGCTTTGAGTACAAAAATAAGACTAATCTCTTTCTCTCTTTGAAATTGTTAACCTTTTACAATGAGTTTTTCAGGGTTATTTATATAAGAATTTGATAATGGTTAAATGAGATATTTCAAGAATTGTGACTTAATCATAAGGAGTTAATTCCATAATTAGCTCAATCACTCTAAATTCAAGATCACATGATCTGATACCAAATTTATCTTCTTGATTTTAGGGATAAGAATTATTTGCAACATGTGAGATAACTGTTTAGTTAACTCGCTTTATTAAACTTCATTTTCTCCAAGGTATTATTAATTTCGAGCTTGTCTTAAACTCTCACACAATATTAACTGATATGTATATAGTCATAGCAAAGTCAAATCTATTGATAAAAAGTCATTGGTACTCAAAACATAAAAAGCTATTCTAATTTATTTGAGAATTTTAATTAAAAACGCAAGATATGGTGAAGTGTTGATTGAAACATTAAGATAAAGGTGCCCATATATTTGACCCCTTTACATAAACCATATAGAAACTTTTGACCAAAAAGTTATCTTTGTTGAACTTTGAACTTCCAATGACTTTCAAACACTTCTCGAAGTTTTTATTTGAATCTCCAAAACATTTGGTTGGTTGACTCATCTGTAAGGATTCACCACTATCCCTTATTTATTTATTTTTCCACTTTATCTAACACAATTATGATCCCTTTTAATTTATTATAATAACTTGACTACACATTAATTTGGGTTTACTTGTGTGATATAATAATGAGTAAAATAAGTGAAAATTGAATTATGATAACAATATTACATTATTGATTTGATAATATTACCATATTGAATCCATTATTAGATCAAAAACTACTAAAGAAAATATAAAAAATTAATTTCAATATGATTACTTACTAACTCAATATCGAAATTATATACTTATCAACAATCTCTTGAGTTTCAAGATTTTTTTCTTAAATTATTGTGCATATAATTAGTTAAAATATTAGAGTTGAAACATGAAACTACAGTGTTTTTTTTTTTTTTTTTGGCTTTTTTAATATTAATCAAAATTTTAGAGTAAATTTTGACTTGAAGAGGATTAATATTTTCTATTATTATTTTTCGTACAATTTTTTACAAGACAGTTAACTGTTTATTGGTGTAGATATTGAAACATAAGATTATATGTAATATATATTAGAGAATGAAACTCATAACATACATTAAATAGTAGATCCATATATATATATATATATATATAACCGGGGGTGTCCAGACTAGTTTATTTATACCTCAATTAATCCTTCACAACCTTGGAACTAATAGCAGAGTAATAGCTCTAATGACTACACCTATTAACAACCGATGAGGGACTCGAACTCAGAACCTTTTGAGTAATACACTCAAGAGTCCCTATTGAACAATTCGGCCAACCAAAGATAATTAATAGTAGATCCATATTAACATTGAATAGACTACTGGAAACATATAAAAATTCATACAAAATATATAACAAGCAGTTTAAGAGAAAGTGGCTTCATAATCATTTGGGTTTTACTGGATTAGACTTGGCATTGAATTGCATAAAAAGCCTTATTTCATGGTCAAAATAACCTTTGAATGGCGTCAGGTATTGATCCTCATTACCAAAACTAATTTTTAATTAGCATAATAGATAGATGAACAAGAGCAATCCTTCGGTACATACGCATCTGCAACAGAACTGATGAATATGCGCAATTGTTTGTTAAGAAGCTACTAAAAATTTACGTGCACCATATGAAAATCGCCTTTTCACTGAAAAACATTTTGTCGTGAAAAGTTAAATTTTCTACACGACATGTTTTTGTGATAGGTCCTAGAATTGTTAACCGGGTAAGAACCCAATAACTATCTCTATTAGTGCTTAGGAGCGTTCGAACTCAAAAGATTTTACCATCAAACCACCTATTATGGTTCAAAGATGATAGCTTATATGCAGTGAAATATGTTATTCTCAAAATTGGAAAAAAAACAAAAAAGATTGTAAAATATCAATAATACTTCTATAGGATAGTTTTGCTTGATTAATTTACTAGGACTTTTATGAATTTTCACCGTTACAGAAACATGTTAACTAGCCAGCTAGGATTTATCTACTATCGGATAGTGGTTTTCTTTCCTCTCCTCATGTACTATATAGATATACTATATTCTACCCATTTTCTGTCGCACTTTCTCACCTTCCAAACAAATTCATATACATCACTCTTATCTTCCATACACATCTCACAATCTAATCATTTTGTCATTCTAGCATATGAAACAAACATATGACAATTCTTAAGAATAAATAATGAATCAAACAGTACTTCTCTACATATAATACAATATCAATGGGGGATGAACCATAAATTTTGATTAGAAGCTTCCAATTTGTGTTGGGTTTCAAACTTTCAACAGCAAAATAACCCCATACATATAATTAAAGAAATCATCGATTTGGGACCCAGATAAGATGGCCAACCAATTGGGGGCTATATAATTGTTTTTTGGTTAGAAAACCATTATGTACTTTGCCACGTTTAAATCAACGAAAATGATAGAATCATCGAAGGTTACGCACCGAATCTATACACCGAATAACGTGACAAAATCTTGACCATTAATTAATATTAACTGATAATGAATCAACGGTCAGGATTTTGTCACGTCATTCGATGCACAGATTTGGTGCGCAACCTTCGGTGACTATAACATTACTCTTAAATCAATGTATTAAATTAAGAGCAACCATGAATGGATTAATTTTGATTCTAAAAGGACAGAAAAGCGAGCAATGGCACCAAACCCTTTTCCTTTTAGAGTTTTGAACTCTATAGGTTCATGCACATTTCCAATCTTCTGTAATCTCCTATCAATTTTATCCTATGCTTTCAATCTCTTTCTTCTGTTTTTCAAATATTTCAACTCAGAAAATTGAGTTTGGAAAGAAAATGATGTATGATTAAATGTTTCAACTCACAATATAAGTTAAAATTATCTACGTCGCATGGGATTTCAGATTCATGAATCAAACTTATTTTAATATTAAAGGAGATCACTCTATTCTTATTAATTTATATACAAAAAGTTACTTAGCAAGAATTTCAGTCAAATTTTATTACCTTTGATTATTAATCCATTTGTATTTCTACTGTTTTTGAATTGTATATTTTCGTAGAAATTTGATACATCAAAATATAAAATGCCACCGGTGGCCCCATATGATAAGATTTTATCATAACAAATGGCATGGCTAATGGTCAAAAGAAGATGGGCCATGGAGCTTTATAGATTACAGTTTTTTTTTTTTTTTTTTTTTTTTTTTTTAATAGTTTGTTTCGTTTTCTTGCATATTTTCTCGACAACCAAACACTTGTGGTGCAGGCTGATCAAAGTTGAGCATAGATATAGGCCATAGCCAATAAGGAGCTACCCACTTGGTTAATAAAGAGAATTGAATTGACTCAACCTCCTTGAAAGCAATCAGCCAGACCGCCCTTATCACCAGTGTCTTAATCAGGTCACACTCGTGCAATATTATTATTCATTTTATAAATCCATCGTGGTACAAAGCATCAGCTCATTTTCTTTTTGGATAAAAGATGCCAAAGAGTTTCCACTTTTCACGTATATTTAAATTACAAGATAATTGTTGGTCAATACACTATGACCAAATAGCAGCCAATCATTCACTAAGAGATACTGTCTTTCAGATATCATAGTGTCCGTGAAATTTAAACTTGGGTTACTGGCTTTTTCCCCAGTCAAGGATTTGGAATAATTCTCTTCATTGATGATTAACTCGGCGACTCTTCTTCCACTTAATCAGTGATGAACCATTTAGATTTTCATACCAACTACGAGAAATGCCTAAATTTTGCTTAAAACAAATGGTTAACATTATTGATATTGTTGGCTGTAGATTCAGCTTCTAGGATCTATTGTTAATTTACAAGTGAAAAAGTGAGGCTCAGAATTGTAAGTTCAGTAGAGGCTTAGTAAAGAGATAAAAAGATTAAATAATTTTGAAAAGGATTCAGCTTTATTTGTTGATCACTTCTTTGATTTTGCATTTTAATTTTTAGGGTTCTTCTTTTCTGGTTTGTCACTTCTCCCTCTCTACTCAAGTGAAAGAGAAAGACTCAACTTTTATACAAATTAACCACCGCTGGGTGACATGATGGTAAAAGACCAAATAAAAATCTAATATGATCTTCTAAGTTCGAGTCTTCTTGAGGGTAAAAGAGTCAGAGGGGGATGTAACATGGTCTCCCTAGTTCAAGTTCTCATTGTTGCTAATAAGGGTGACAACTAGAATTCTTATCCAGTCGGTAGTTCCAAGGTCTCGGGAAATCAGTTGAGTACATTTGAAAGAATTTAAGAAAATATTTTGATTGAACTCCTCACATGTGTTTATCTGCTAGTCTCAGTATTTTGTTAGATGTGAAGAAAATTTAAGAAAGATTTGTATTGATTTGAGAGTAAACGATTTTTTTCCCACCCAAGGTTTGCTTTAATGACACTTTCCCACCCAAAAAATTTCAAAGTACCACTTTTCCACTCAAAGTTTCTATTCCACGAATACCCAAAATATATTTCACTTTCTTAGTCAGCATTTAGCAAGTTACCAAGAGCTAGGATAAAAGGGGTTTTGTAGAGTACTAGAGGCCAGTGGATTGAGTGGTGATAACCAATTGAATATTTGCCGTTAGAATCAACTAAAAATCAATTAAGAACAGGAAACTTTAGCTTTGCAGTGGCCATCAATTGACAAGAAATTAGATATAGGAGTGAAAGAGATTTTGTAGAAAGGAGACCGGAGGTTTAAATAGTGGTGACGGAGAGGATTTTCGCCGCCGAGGCCAGAATCAGCTTTGGATAGCAGCGGAATATTAATTTTGGGTGGAAAAAGTATTTTAAAACTTTTTGGGTGGGAAAGTGTCATTAAGGCAAACCTTGGGTGGGAAAAAAGTCGTTTACTCTTGATTTAAAGGTCATTATCCTTTTGAATAGTGATGGCACAAAGAGAAGAGACATAGTTGCCAAGTGGGCAATTAAGGAGATGATGAAAATCATCGTCTTATGTCACCTTGAATTCTCAATTGGCGTTTTACCAGGAGCTAGAATAAGAGGGGTTTTATAGAGTACTAGAGGCTAATGGATTGAATGGTGGTGACCAATTGAATATTCGTTGTTGGAATCAACAAAAAATTAATTAAGAATAAGAAACTTTAGCTTTGCAGTGGCCAACAATTGACAAGAAATTAGATATAGGGGTGAAAGAGATTTTGTAAAAAAGAGATTGGAGGTTCAAATAATGGTGACGGAGAGGATTTTCGCTGCCAAGGCCAGAATCAGCTTTGGATAGTAATGAAATATTAATTTTAGGTGAAAAAAGTATTTTAAAACTTTTTGGGTCGGGAAAGTGTCATTAAGGCAAACCTTGGGTGGGAAAAAAGTCGTTTACTCTTGATGTAAAGGTCATTATCCTTTTTAATAGTGATGCCACAAAGAGAAGAGACATTAGTTGCCAAGTGGGCAATTATGGAGATGAAATCATCGTCTTATGTCACCTTGAATTGTCATCTGACCTGGCCGCCATGCCCCCTATATTTAAGAGAGTATCCCTTCCATTAATTTAATTTCTTTTGACTCACGTGCGTTAACTCCTTGGGTCCCAACAACGACCAAAACTTTCATTCATGTTCATGCATTCTTGCCACCTTTCATCTCTTAATCCATCATATATGCTCTCTATATAAACACTCAACCTTCGAATTTAAGTTTCAAACTTCCAAGAAGACCAGACAAAATTTCTCTCTCAATTTTCATTCATGGATTCTTCATTCTTTGAATCCCCTTATGCTCAATTCTCTCCTGATCAATCTTCTTCTTCTTATTCTACCACAACTAATTCCCTTGACTCTTCTTTCTCGTCAAACACTTTCAACAATAACTTCCATAACCAACACCTTCCCTTCAATGAAAATGACTCCCAAGAGATGCTCCTCCTAGGACTTCTCAATGAATTCCCCACAAATTCTTTCAATGACGAAGTAAGTTCGAGAGCTGAAGCTGACGAAGGGGAGCCTATGAGAGAAGTTTCTTACCGAGGAGTAAGGAAGCGACCATGGGGAAAATATGCAGCCGAGATTAGAGACTCGACCAGAAATGGCGTACGGGTTTGGATTGGAACCTTCGACACTGCTGAGGCTGCAGCTTTAGCTTATGATCAAGCTGCATTTGCGATGAGAGGTTCAATGGCGATACTCAATTTTCCTGCGCAGAAAGTTTATGAATCACTTGTGGAAATGAAGTGCAACTTTGAAGAGGGAAGTTCGCCTGTACTGGCATTGAAAAAGAGGCACTCAATGAAGAAGAAAGGTGAGAGTAAGAAGAAGATTAAAGAGAAAGAGAAGAAGTTAGAGAATTTTGTGGTGTTGGAAGACTTGGGAGCTGAGTACTTAGATGAATTATTAAGTTTATCAGAAGCTAGCTCCGGCTGCAACTTTAATTAAAATCATTAACTCTTTTTTTATCTTTCAGCGATTGATCTGGCTGAATAATTTTGAGGCTCTAATTGTCTAGTTTTCTTGTTAGATAATTAATTTCTTTTAGTTTGTAAATTTGTTGAGAGATAATGAATGAGGGATCCAAGTTTCAATTATTTAGTGGGGTTCACATTTTAGTCAACTTGCAATTAGATAACTATATTATTAAATTTTATTAATTTGATTTTCTCTCTGTGATTATGACCACATGACACAGAGTACTGGACCTTGATCATGACAATTTTTTTAAGTATCGAAATTTAATTGTAGGACCATTCATTTTTAAAGTTCATTTTTCATATATGCTTCTTAACTCGATAGTTAATGGTATTGAAAGAGTTGACGACTTTTTTTCACCCAAATAATGGTTTAATAATAATTTTTCATCCATAAACTTTTAAAATATAATTTTACTATCTAAATTTATATTTTGATGATAAATAAAGAGTAAACTCATTTTAGACTATTAGAGTTTTTGAAGAGAGGAGACCGATGAGTCTTTTAGTGGTGAAATATTAGATTTTAGTGGTTAAGATTTATTAAAATTTGACTTCGGAGAGACGGTTGTGCAAATCTTAATCACTCGATTTTTAGAGATTGGCAGGGTCGACAAGAGTAGGGTTTTAATGGTTTTGATGAGTAATGACTGGGGAAGAGAATAGTGATAATTTGGGGAAATAAGGATGTCAAAATAAAATATAAAATTTAAATTTAAATAATAAAATGATATTTTAAAAGTATGGGTGGGAAAGTATTATTAACCCATTATTTTAGATGGGAAAAAGTCTTTGAAAAATGCTATCCTTACAAAGACAATACAAATAGAGCTACAAAGTGATATCACTAGGAAGGAAAAAACAAAGAAAAAACGGAAAAAGAGGGAGAGAGAGAGAGAGAAATCATGAAGATGAAGGGTAAAAATTATTTTTGTATGGCCTCTTTGTTTTTGTCTTTGTAAGAGTAGTATTGCTCAAAGCCTTTTGTTCGGCAGTGAATAGGTGCGCAATACGTCAATGCCAGCGGCTGCAAGCAAATGGTAGCAAACGGCAGAATTGCGGCTCAACGAGGGCATTAAAATCCATTAACATGACAACTTAACCGCCTAAATTCTTCTTGGGGTGCCGACAATTGCTTTCGGTCTATTTTAAAGTATTTACTTTTATGCATGTTAGGATATTTATTCATTAAGTATTTACAGAAGGTTTTTATTCATTAAAGGTATACCTACTTTGATGTTTTATATTTGGAATAGAATAATACTATACCCACAATCTCTTCTCATAAATTTTCTTTCACAACCTCGACGTGACAGCTTACAATTAGTCAACTATAATTTATCAGATAGGACCCATTATGAACTAACCAATTGCGAGTTTTCACGTCGAGGCTATAAGAGGAAGTTTATGAGAAAAGGTTGTAAGTGTAGCATTTTCCTTGGAATGTTACATCTAAGAGAGGGGTTATTTGAAACTTCATTTATTAGTTTATACTGAAATTTACCATAAAAACCAATCATTGGGTGATCGAGTGGTTTGATAGGAACTCTTGAATGTATTACTCAATAGGTCTTGAATTCAAATCTCTCTTCGATTGTTAATAGGGGTGGTTATTAGAGCTTTTATCCAATCGGTAGTTTTATGATCCCAGGAGATTAGCTGAGGTACACGTAAGCTAGTCTAGACACCCTGGTCATTAAAAAAAATAAAATTACAATAAAAGGTATTTATATTTGTAAGAATATATACCCTAATTGCTTGTTCAACAATTATTCCTTGATTATATGAAAATGAAGTCTTAAAGTTCAAATTAAAATTCTTTGCCCACGTTTTCAATTTGGTGGATTGAATTAACTATGTTACTTCTTTCCTTAATTTGGTTAGAGTAAACGAGGTATTTCCCACCCAAGGTTTGCCTTAATGACACTTTTTTACCAAAAAAGTTTCAAACCACTTTCCCTTTCAAAGTTAATATCTCGTTATTACTTAAAGTTGAAACGACGGCGAAAATTTTCTCTGTTACCACTATTTGAACCTTCAGTCTCCTCTTTACAAAATCTCTCTCACTTTGATACTTGATTTTTAACCGATTGCCAACCATCGCAAACCTAGGGTTCCTGTTCTTAGCTGATTTTTAGTTGATTTCGATGGCAAATATTTAATCGGTCACCCCCATTTGATCCACCGACCTTCACTTTACAAAAACCCTTTTATCTTGACTTCTGATAACTCGATGAACATCTATTGAAAAAGTAAAGTGTATTTTGAGTATTAAGAGAATATAATAAATAAAAAAGTAATATTTTAAAACTTTTTAAGTGAGAAAATATCATTAAGGCAAACCTTTGCTGGAAAAAATCGTTTACTCGTTTGGTTAATCATTCTTTTTTTAGTTTTTTATATGTATTTCGTGTTTGTCCTGAACCGAAACAAACAAAAAAGAAAATGAGGGTTAACTAGACAGGAGCAAGTGGAGGTCCCTAGCCAGGTGGCTTCCACATAGAGTATTAAAATATCCAGATTTACAGTGGGAGAACCAAGATTTTTCTATGAACGAAAGATTAAACCAAAAATTAAATTACATTACCTTGAAAACATATGAAAAAGGAGCGTAATTTTAAGTAGTTTTTCTTTCTAAAGTTAAAAATAATAATTAAAAATAACATAGATTTAATTTTTAAAAAGTTCAAAACATTCAAAGCTGAACTTCGTTTATTTATTTTCATGTTGAAAAGTCAATTCAAAATTAAGATATGAATTATACAAATTGGATAGAGTTAGTGATATTAAAGAGACGATGATAAACAGACAAAATAAAATAAAAGTGAATTAATTTGACATTTTACAAGTGAAAAGTTAAAAGAGATATTCAAATTAAGAGCATATTTTAGTGCTTTTAAGAATGAAAAGAAATAAATAAACAAAATACATAAATAATTATGCAAACAAAACAAGAAGTAATGGTTATAAACATAAAAATCTTTTTGGTTTATTCGGAGCATGGGAGGGAAGGCATTAGAACTCAAGTCCAAGGGAGCGTCCAACGTAAAAGACTATATAGGAGGGAGAGTCTCTAGGCTTAAGTATCACACTTAGTGGGTATGAAATCTCAATGTGGGATTCTAACATTCTACAACCCCCCTCCTCCCTCTCTAAGAGCCCAATGTTAACATTGGCTTTCACTCTATCGACACTGACCTAACGGTAGCCCTTTCCCTCTTTGAATGACTTCACTCATCGATCAGTTATTCGATACAATACCCCTTCCCAAGGAGAGAGTACCACACCTTAATCTAATCTATAGGTAACCCTTTATGCAGTTAAATTCTCAACGAGAGCACAAATGTTACAACTTAAACCAAATAGATAGTCTAACTCAAAAGACCGGTCTGATAAGAAGGAAAGACCTTAGTCTTAAATATCATACTTGATAAATGTGAGATCCTGATATGAGATCCAAACAAAAGGATCAGGAGGGCCACATTCATTGAATTAAGAGATAAGACCTGATACATTTAATATTGATATAAACATATACCATTAACTGAAATAAAATCAAAGGCTTCCACTGCCACACATTTATACACGTAAAGACCAAGGAATTATATATATTTCATTTAATCATCGAGGAGAAAAATCGATTCAAGAACCTAAAATAATGACCATCAATTTCTGTATACAGACATATAAGTATATAGTTGGTCAATGATTGATTGAAATTAGAAACAGAGTTTTATATGACAAGTAAAAAGATTATGAAAAACAGAAAAAGAGGTATTGTTGGAACTTGGAATCACCTTTGAAGAAATTCAATAGAGCTCAAATAATTATAGTCATAACGTGGAGCTAATTAATTTATACTTCATTTAGAAGCCCTGTTTGACTGGACATGTTTGGGCTTTATGGCCTTTAAAAATATTGGAAACGATATAAATGGGTTAGAGTTTTGCCGTTCATGTTTGGTCATGATCTCTTTGATATGAATAAATTTTGTAATTAACTCTTAATAAAAAAAAAATAGAAAATAGAAGAATAAGTACTAATCAAACATTAAAAAGAATTGATTAATCTTAAGATTATTTAGATTCAAATGAAGGATATATCAAAAGAGAAGGTTTTTTTTTTTGGTTAAATGTTTCCTAGGATAATCTCTACGTTACTTTGGTTGAAACTTGAACCCGGGGCCGACTTAACACTAAACAGGTGAGACAATTGCCCAGGATCCTCAAAAAATAGGGCCAAAAAGGGGTTTAAATTTGTTACAAGTTTTTTGAAAATATTTACAAAAATATCATTATTGTATAATTTCTTATTCATGTCAACCCAAAGGGCCCAAAAAAAAGCAAAAAATACTCAAATTTGTCATAAACTTTTTACATATATTTACAAAAATACCATTATTATATAATTTTCCATCAAATCCAACCTCCTGCCTATCTCTCTCAAATCTTTCCGGTGAAACACATACAAATTGCCAACTCTATTTTTCCATTCCATTGAAACATATTGCCGCTGCAATCTCTCAAATGTCAAATCACAATCTCTTCTCTCTCCCAAATGACAGTCTCTTATATCAGAATCCCTCTCCTTTTATTCAAAAGTTCAATTTTCTTAATTCTTACTCTTAGCTGTCTCATCTCTTGTCTCTCAACGTTCTCATCTCTTGTCTCTCAACGTTCTCATCTCTATAGACGTAATTTTTTTCCTTTTTGTTTATGCTAAGTTGTTGCTTGTTTGTGCAAGCTTCGATTTTTTATTTTTTTATTTTTGGGTTTGGCAAGTGATATTTGGTCAAGCGAATGTGTGATTTACATTATTATTTATATGCAAGGTAATAATATAAAATTTTAGAGTATCAATAGAAAGCAAAATCAAAAGAGCATGAATCAAGTGCTAAATCCTTGCAGTTTTTATAATTATTTTTATTTTAGCAAAATAATATTAATGGTTCTAAATTATTTATTCTTTGAATAAAAATGTCTACTAGAAAGTATGAATCTAGATTTGAAAAACATAAGGAAAAAAAAAAAAAGGATAGAAGAACTAATTCAATCCCAAAAAGGTGCACTTAATAGATTTGTTATAAATACAAAACACCAAATGCTAAAAAAAACAAATGAAGACTTAAATGAAAAA